TACGCTGGGGAGGGGAAGGATGGGATGGCCAGGGGAGAGAGGGCGTGGTTGTGCCGGGGCATGAGGAGGGGAATTAAATCTCAAATTAGAGAACCTATAACCAACCCACCCTCCTACCCCCTCCATCCTCCCCACAAATTTAGCTCACTGTGTGGAGCACTTGGTCAACCTCACTGCTATTGTTATCATTCATTCATCCATTTAACAAATTTGTACTGAGTTTCTACTTTGTGCTAGAACCATGCTGGCTGCCTTGGACACAGCAGGAGAAAGACAAAGTCCTGACATAATGAGGGTGATGGTCCAGTGGGGAGGGAGGAATGATAAATCAAAAAAAAGAAACATTTAATATTAGGTCAGACGGTGGTACTTGCAGCACAAAGATAGTACAAAATAGGAAGTGACCCCAAGAAGTGTGTTACTTCATATACAATGGTGTGTGTATGTGTGAACTCTCCAAACAGGAGAGGACAGCAAACTGTATGAACACTGGGGAAGCAGAGTACTCTCAGAGAACACAGCCAGGCAAAGGCCCAAAGAGAAACAAGGCTTCAGCCATGTTAAGAACAGCCAGAATGGGCGTGTTGACAGATAGTAAAAACGTTGACCAGCTACAACTGCAGGTTCTTCAGACCCTATGGCCTCTTTTATTATAGTTATAACTTTACACTATAAACATTAAATGTAAACATGTAAAAATACAAATAACTGAAACTTTATGTGAAAGATTGATATACAAAATAGAAAAAAATTACATACTCCAATATATAATCATATAGTACATATTACATTCATATAAAATAAACATTTTTATTGTAATAAGGAATATACAATAATAAATGGTATTACAGTGTACTATATTACAAATATACATTATTATAGTATATAATGATATGCAGTATAAAATTATAACTAATGTACAAATCTAATTATGTATAGATATTTATAATCTAATTTCTAATAAGTCTTTTATCAAACATAATTTAAATTATCACACGGTAAAACATAATACTTTTGAGATTCATCCACGTTGTAACTTGTGTCAATGAATCATTCCTTTCTCTGGTGTCATAAATCAGCCTTTTTATGGCTGAGTAGTATTCCATTGTACAGATATACTACATTGTGTTTATTCACCCACTGATGGACATTTGGGTTGTTTCTAATTTTTTGGTGATTATGAATGCAGTTTCTGTGAGCATTCGAGTACATAATTTCTCATTTCTCTAGGATAAATACCTAGGAGTGGGATTGCTGGGTCATAGGATAAGTATATCGTTAACTTTATAAGAACTTGTGAAACTTGTCCAGAGTGGAGATACCATTGTATATCACTCCCATCAGCAATGCATGCAAGTGTCTATTGCTTTACATCCTTGCCAACTTTTGTACTGTTATTTATTGCCATTCTGATAAGTGTGTAGTGGTATGTCATTATGGTTTTAATTTGCATTTTCCTGATGACTAATGATGTTGAATGTCTTTTCATCAGCATACTTCCATTTGTATCTCATACAACCATATGAATGAATCTCAAATACACTAAATGAAAGATGTCAGACTCCAAAGGAGACACATTTTTACATATATATGTATACACACACATTTATATAACATGTAAAAAAGGCAAAATTATAGAAACAGGAAACGGATCAGTGATTTCGAGGGGATGGGAGTGGATAGAGAGATTGATTAAAAAGGGATAGGAGGGAATTTAGGGGAGTGAAGGAACTGTTCTCTTGGTTGTGATGTTGATTACATTTGTACACATTTGTCAGAACTGTACACTTTTAAGGGTGATTATTACTGTGTGTAAATTATACCCCAATAAAGCTGAATTTAAAAATATCTCAGTACTATAATATTATGTTACAGTAAATATGAAAGAGAAATAATTGAAAGTAATTTACAATAAAATAACATACATTTCCCTCTGTGAGGTTTTGGTACAGCCATACAGAGGTTGATCTTGTGTCAACTTATAACTAGTAATATCATTAACAACAGGGACCCTCTCATTTGTCTCCACTAGCCCTACTCCCCTCAAATGACCCATATTAAGTCACTTCATCCTCCATAACTCTATTTTACAGGTGAGGCAACTGAGGCTCAGGGGAGGTTACTGGGCATCAGGGTTGGCACCTGGATATTAATCCACATCGACAGCTTTCACTATTCTGCTTGTTTCATTCCTCTTGTAGTAAATGGGAAGCTGTTTGTGATCTCCTGGGTCTCCCAGAGCCTCCCCAGCCTACTCCAGACCAACAATTCCCTGGAGGGTGTCTATGAGGCTAGGACCTGATCCTCATCCCTTCTCCATCCCCCAGGGTTCCTGTCCAGGCAAACAGTGGGGACTTGGAGAAGCAATACTGGGGGACTTGCAGTAGCCACACTAAGTGGCTTCATGAAGCAATGTGGGCAACGGGGAATCAGTAGACACTGTGTTACTGAGGGCCAATAGGGAAAGAGCAGATATTACCAGGATTTAATGGAAGAGTCACAGATACTGTATTAGTGGGTAATGGGCACCAACAGACTTTGTGCCAGTTGTTAATGGGGGTCCTACAGAGATGGCTAATGTGAAGTTTATGGTGCCTTATCAGTCATTGCCCTTATCTGGGGAGAGGGAAGCAGGTTAATGGCACACACCAGTGTTCAGAAAGTATAGGGGGCATCACCACATACTGTGTTGGGGATGGTTACAAACACTGTTAGGTGGAGTAATGGAAGATAACTGGTCACCATCATTGTGATGGACAACAAATGGAGGGAAACACAAGCCATCCTAATAGAGGTGTAATGAAAGAATCAGGAGATAATGTTAAAAGTTGGATTAGGTGGGGTATATCATGGTTTCCTACTCTGAGGATTGTAATAAGTGGTCATCAGTTACTATTTGGTGAAAGTGGGAATAAATGGGGAGTATGGAGGTTACCAGACTGTTTCACAAATGTGGTGAAGTAATACACATTATGCTGGAGGTAACTGGAAGAGGTAATGAGAAGATCTCCAGACACTATTTCCTGTAATAAGAGGTGACAAACACAGTGATGGAGTAAAGTCAAAGGGGGATAATGGAGGGTGTCCAGACATTGTGCTGGGGTAGGTTAAGAAGGGGGTAATAAAAAAAAAAAAAAAAAAAAGAAGGGGGTAATAGATCTCCAGACACTCTCCTACGGGATCAGCAAACACTGTCCTAAGTTGGGGGAAAATGGTGGGTCTTAAAACATTGAGTGAAGCCCCAGAAGTAGTGCTGAATGAGGTAAAAGGGGGTAGTGGGTCACCAGATACTGTTCTAACATAGAGAAGGGTGTACAGTGGCTCATCAGATACTGTGAAGGGGTGAGATAAAGGGGAGCTAATGATGGATTAGACATGGATCTAAGGTGTGGTAATGGGATATGTCACTAATCACTGCCCAATTTGGGTGAGGGGATTACAGGAAAATCCTTAGACCTGTCCCCTTAACCAGGTTCTGTCCCCATTCTCAACCCTCATGCTGCTATTCACAAAGGTGAGAACATTTCTGTACAACCCAACTGTTTCCCACTCTCAGCGTTGCCAATGGACTGACTTGAAGGAACCATTTTGCTGGTTCATTTGGCCACCCAGCAGCTGAGCTTTCAATCAGACCCTCTGCATGCACCACTGCTGCTCCAGTCTTAGGTTGCACACCTAACTTCTAAGGAAGGTCAACCCTTCTCTGCTCTTGGCCTCTCCATATTATTAGCTTTGGGCATACCTGTCAGGGCATGATAAGCAGGTCTGTAGGTCAGGTTACGGGGTAGACAAGGCCCCATCAAGGTGCAATTGGGGTAAGGCAGGACTGTGCATGCTCGGGCAGAGTGAGTGGGCTCTTTTGTGATCACTTTGGAGCTGACTGTGGTATTTCAGAATCATTGAAGGGAATCCTGAAACATCAAGCATCAAGTCCCATCTATGTGGGACTGATTTCCTGTGCCTCAGTCCCTTCTTTAAATGGGCTGGCATCAGAGCAAAAGGTTTACAATGATGTTACAACTTTTAGAACAGGAAGGAGGCACAGCCCAGGTAAAGACTGGGGGTGAAAAAGGCTTGTGTGTTTTAGACAAGTTGGTTCTCCCCATCGGAGCATCTTATGCTGCGGTACAGAAAGGATCAAAGGGAAGTCATGGGATGAGCATGGTCAACACTCCACAACGTGCACTCATAGAAGGACTGTTGTATGTCAGGCATGGGTCTAGGCTCACAACGGTGAACAAAATGGGGAAAAACATTCTAGAGTGGGAACCATAGACAAATAAGTGAAATATACAGGGCATCATGGTAATAAGTGCTATGGAGAGGATAAAGGAGGAAGGGGAGGTTGATGGAATTTTAAGCCAGGCAGGCAGGGGAGGGCAGGGTAGGCCTCTGTGAAGATATGCCATTGGAAGAAAGACACAACAGAGTAAACCACAGAGATATAATGAGGAACTGTGCTCTTTGAAGAGGGTACTGCAAATGCAAAGGTCCTGAGGCAGGACCTAACCTGATGCGTTTGAGGCACATGGGGGAGAAGGTCCTTGAAGAGTGCATGGAATGAAGATGGGTAGAGAGAAGACAGTGAAGGTATGTTGGGGTTTGTTTTAATGAGTTATTGATTCATTATTGTCATTATAAAGGTCAAGTCATTAAGGAAGTCAAATGAGCTGGAAGCACTATAAAACTGTAACAGCAAAAGGGAGACTGAGGTGAAGAGTTGACTGAGGTGACCTGAACATTCTTACTTCAGAAGCTTTCCTGAAGGTAATGGGAGCTCACAGGACACTATAATGGGGGCTAATTAAGGGTCAGTAAGTCTGGGAGATAATGGTAGTCAACACGAATAGGCAGTCATAATGCAATTATAGGGGTCAGAAGACAATGTGCTGTATGAAAGTTGAAAACACTCTACTGGTGGCTAATAAGTGGGGGGGTACCATTCATGGTGCTAGAGGATAATGGGGGAGTCAACATACACTCTGAGGTTTATATCTGTATACATAAATAATTTTTTTATTGTGGCATCCCTTTCTTGATAAAAATATGCAATGGGGGATTAGATACGCAGACGATGTTTGATTCAACAGAAGAATGACACACAAAATTCTGTTAGGCAATGTGTTCTGCAACAAACATCTCACAGAACTTAAGAGTTTATCGTTATCGTATATATTATGCTGTTCTACCATTCAACTTGTTGGCATATTACCTATTCCACAGTAAACAGGATTATCATTAGCATGACTTCACATAATGTTTCCAGTGCAGAATTTGCTAACAGTGTTCCATTACACTTTTCATGAGAAGGCTTCTTCTAATGTACCAAACTGAAAAAGTTCCTTCTCAGTATGAATGCCCCAAGGTTTACTGAGGCTGGTGACAATATGGGAAGGGGTCCTCCCATTCAGGGTCCTTTCAGAGGTCCTCTTCTGTATAGTAATGTACGACATTCTATGGAGCATTTCTAGTTACGATAATATGCATAGTTTTCTGTTGCACGAATTCCATAATGTAAAATAAAATCTGATCTCACTGAGGTTTTCTCAGAATGTTTCTCTCAGGTGTGAATACTCTGATGCACGCTGAGAACTGATTTCTGAACAAAGCCTTTCCCACAGACTACACACTTATAGGGTTTGTCTCCAGTGTGCGTTGTCTGGTGTTTGTTCAAATTTGATCTGTCAGTGAAGGCCTTCCCACACTCAGCACACACATAAGGCTTCTCTCCTGTGTGAATTCGTTGATGCACTTGGAGCTGTGATTTCTTAGTGAACGATTTACCACAGTCACTGCATTCATAAGGTTTCTCTCCAGTATGAATCCTATGATGTATAATCAGTTCTGACTTTTGTCTGAAGGTCTTCCCACATTCAGAACAAATGTAGGGCTTTTCTCCGGTATGAGTTTTCTGATGTTTACTGAGATTTGACCTGCCACTAAAGGCTTTCCCACATATAGCACACACATATGGTTTTTCTCCTGTGTGAATTGGTCGATGCACCAGGAGCTGAGACTTGGAGGTGAAGGATTTTCCACAATCATTGCATTCATAAGGTTTCTCCCCAGTATGAATTCTCTGATGAGTAATAAAGTTTGACTTCCGGATGAAGGCTCTTCCACACTCAGTGCACACATAGGGTTTCTCTCCTGTATGAATTTTCTGATGCACAATGAGTATTGATTTCTGGTTGAAGGCTTTCCCACATTCATGGCATTCATATTGTCTCTCTCCAGTGTGAATTTTCTGGTGTATATTGAGGTGTGACTTCTGGGTGAAGGCTTTTCCACAGGTATTGCATTCATAAGGTTTCTCCCCAGTATGAATTCTCTGATGTGTAATCAAGTCTGACCTTTGTGTGAAGGCCTTGCCACATTTAGGACATATATAGGATTTCTCTCCTGTATGAGTTTTCTGATGTGTAATGAGATTTGACCTGTTGGTAAATGCCTTCCCACATTTAGTGCACATATAAGGTTTCTCTCCTGTGTGAATTCGTTTATGCACATGAAGTTGTGACTTGGAAGTAAAGGATTTCCCACAATTACCACATTTATAAGGTTTCTCTCCTGTATGAATTATTTGATGGGCAATCAAGTGTGCCTTCTGGATGAAGGCTAGCCCACATTTCATGCATATATATGATTTTTCTCCTGTATGAATTCTCTGATGCACTGTGAGTGCTGACTTCTGAGTGAAGGCTTTTCCACAATCACTGCATTCATAAGGTTTCTCTCCGGTGTGAATTCTCTGATGTATAATCAACTCTGACCTGTACGTAAAGGCCTTACCACATTCAGTACATATGGAAGATTTCTCTCTCATTTGTACTTTCTTATGTGTATTGAGATTGGAACTATTGTTGAAAACCTTCCCATATTCGTTGCATATAGACGGTTTCATTCTTGTGTGAGTTCGTTGATGTACCTGCAGTTGTGACTTGGAAATGAAGGACTTCCCACAGTTACTGCATTCATATGGTTTTTCTCCAGTGTGAATTCTTCGGTGCGCAATCAAGTGTGTCTTCTGGATGAAGGCCTGTCCACATTCAATACATATATAGGATCTCTCGCCTGTATGAATTTTCTGATGCATCTTGAGTGTGGACTTCTGCGTGAATGCTTTGCCACAATCACTGCACTCATGGTGTCTCTCTCCAGTATGAATTTTCTGATGTATACTAAGATCTGAGTTATAAGAGAAGCCTTTCCCACATTCACTGCATTCATAGAGTTTTTCTCCAGTATGAATTCTCTGATGCCTGAAAAGAGAAGATACTTGGAAAAAGGCTTTCCCACATTCACTGCACTTATAGGGCTTCTCTCTAGTATGAGTTCTCTGATGTGTAATGAATTCTGGCTTCTGTACAAAAGCCTTCCCACAGTCAATACATACATACAGTTTTTCTCCTGTATGCACTTTCAGATGTACCTTGAGTTGTGACTTCTGGGTGAAGATATTTCCAAATTCAGCACATTCATAAGATTTTGCCCCAGTATGACTTTTCTGATGTTGACAGGGTACTTGTTTATAGCTGAGGATTTTTCCACATTGATTATGGCCCCATAATTTCTCTCCTGTTGGAGTACACTCATGTTTAGTACAGGAAGAAATTTTACCATATTCAGTAATCTTATTAATGTTCTTTGATCCACTGTTTCTATTATGACCATGTAAATCTAAATTATGGCTTAAAGCACTTCCATATAAGTCACACTGATGAGGTCTCTTTGGGGAAGGAATGTTTTGGCTCACATGAATTATTTTTCTGTCTTTATATTCATAATCCCTCTTTATAGTCAATATTTTCTTGATGAAAGCAACATCTCTTAAAGATTTGTTTTCTCTTTGTTGATAGCTCTCTATCTGGTCATCAATCTGCCACAATTCTTCTAGAATAAAATACAATAAAACGTCACTTGTAGCATCACCTTTCCTCTCAATGTAGAAAGAAGTTTTTCAGAAATTCTCTGTGAGGTTTGAAACCGAAACTCTCCTTCTCAAAGGAGAATGAGATGATTTTAGCTCAAAGAGCAGCTAGCAGAGGCAAGAGAAGAGGGTCATATGGTTCATCCAGGTTGAACACAGTGAAAAGGGTGAGGGTGAATCATTGGCTGAGAAGACTTGGTAATAGTGGTGACAGGAAACATTCTGGGATACAATTCAGTTTATTTAGAAAATAAACTTTATGAACTCAATGCACTGTGCCAGGAAGTGAAAAAAGCAAAGAACAAGATATATAGCACAATAATATTTATACAAGCTAATAACACATACCCCAAGTCACTTTAAATATGAACTTAAAAATATGTTTCTATCATATAAAACAATTGCCTATGATGGGAAGTGAGATGAGTATGGGGAAAAGAAGGAATAATGAATAAATTGAAAAAATAAAATAGTAGAGAATCCTTACCCATACTGATGATGATAGTGTGTCCTGAATGAAGACATGATTAAACTCAAACCTCATCATGTGAAGTACAGAAATAAAGCAATTTCAAAAATCAGCCAACCAGGTAGACAGCCCCCAGTCAGTGTGAAGTCTCAAGCAACCTTGGAAGGAAGTCAGAAAGGTACTCCTAAAGGTTAAGCAACAGTGACCTCTAAGTCATCAGTTGGATGAAAGACATGGGGAATGGGAAAGTGAGAAATCTTAAGTCAGTGACTATGGAGAAAAAAGGAAGAGAGCATGATTGGAGATAAAGTTCCAAAGCATCTCACAATGAGAAAGAAAGAAATGAAAGAGGACTAGCAGGAGTGGGAGTGTGTGACATATAGTAACTTTTAAAGAAAGCAAATCCATGAATAGCTGAATACATAAAGAATGAATCTTGGACAATGCGGAAGGCAGAAAGAAAAAAAGAATATTAGAGAAAAGGAGCATAACCAAGAAAAAAAGAAAATATTTATTGAGGCAGATTGGCATGTAATCCAGACACCAAAAAGCCAAGGAAGAAGACAGTTAGAAACGACAAAGGCATTTTTATAGAAGGCATTTAGTTATTTGAGAGGCCGATATCAAGGGTCCTCAAATAATACAAAAAAATCAGAACCTTCCAGAAGAGTCAGCTTAATAGCATTTCAAAGATGCCAGTCTTTCTCAAGATGGCTGAGATTTACTTCCCTGTCTCCCATCAGTCTGGGTCACACTCACTCACCTGGACAGCTCTGATGTGGGCTCTCACCCTGCAGTGCCCATGGCTCCTTTCCTTCCTCCAACATGAAAACCTCTGTTTCAGGAACTTGATACCCTGTTCATGAGAAATGATAAAAGGTCTGGGTCCAGCTAATTGTGTTACAGAGCCCAACCAATAGCCTTGTTCAATGAGGCTTTGTTCTACAGGAAAGTAACAGTGTATCTCTGAGAACAGTGTACAGTTAACCCTTGAACAACAGGGCTTTGAACCACATGGGTCCAACTTATAAATGGATTTTACCAAAAATATTGGAAAATCTTTTGGAGATTCGTGACAATTTGAAAAAACTCAAACTTCATAGCCTAGAAATATCAAAAAATGTTTTTAAAAAGTTAGGTATGTCATGAATTTTGTAGCCACCTCCTATTGCTATTGCAGTGAGCCCAGTGCTGTAAATATCCACTTAAAATGCCCTAATCATTGCCTCATGAGCAGTCCCTCTCTCCAGTAAATTGTGTATAGCAGTAAAAAGTAATCTCTCTGGGTTCTCACATATGTTTCATGTTTATTGCAATACCATAAACCTTGAATAATATCACGGGACCCATACTAACATACTAAGTGCCACTAGCGATGCTGGAAATGCTCCCAAGAACAGAGAAAATTCATGATGTTACAAGAAAAAGCTGAATTGCTTGATTGAGGTCTGCAGCTGTTGTTGCCAGCCATTTCAAGATAAATGAATTAAGTGTAAAAACCATTGTAAAAAAAAAAAAAAAGAAATACATGAAGCATATACCAGCAGACACAAAAACCCTGCATCTTTTTTTTTTTTTTTTTTTGGCTGCACCACATGTCTTGTGGGATCCTAGTTCCCCAACTAGGAAGCACTGAATCCAGGCTGTGAGAGTAGAGTCCTAACCATTGGACTGCCAGGGAATTCCCACCATGCACTTTTTGAGAAACACTTTTTTTTATCTTGTATTAAAAATGTAGTTTTTATGTGGGTACAGGATTGTTATAAGAAAAGCATTCCAGGACTTTGCTGGTGATCCAGTGGCTAAGACTCCACGCTCCCAATGCAGGGGGCCTGGGTTCGATCCCTGGGCAGGGAACTAGATCCCACATGCCACAACTAAGAGTTCACATGTGCAACTAAAGACCCCGCATGCCACAACGAAGATCCTGCATGCTGCAACTAAGACCTGGCACAGCCAAATAAATAAATATTTTTTTAAAAAGCATATCTATAGATTCTAATATGATTTGAGAAAAAGTAAAGTCATTATATGGTAACTTAAAGCAAAAGGAAGGTGAAGGGCTTAAAGCTAGAGAATCTAATGCCAGTAAAGGATGGTTTGATAATTTTAGAAAGAGGTTTGACTTTAAAAAGAGATAAGAGAAGCAGCTTCTGATGACCAAAAGGCAGCAGGTAAGTTCCTAGATGCCATAAAGAAAATCATTCAGGAGAAAAAAGATATCTGCCTGAACTTGTTTTTAATGCAGATGAAAGTGCCATATTCTGGAAAAAATGCCACAAAGGACTAAGGAAGAGAAGTGAGCACCAGGACAGGAACCTAAATCCTAACTAACTCCCCTGTTTCATGCAAGTGCAGTCAAGTTTATGATTAGGACAACCCTTATCTATAAAGCTGCTCACCCCTAAGCCTTGAAAGGAAAAGATAAACACCAGCTGCCAGTCTTTTGGTTGTAAAACAAGAAGGCCTGAACAACAAGAACTTTCTTTCTGAATTGGTTCCATTGATGCTTTGTCCCTGGAGTCAGTAAGTACCCAGCCGGTAAGGGACTGCCTTTTGATATTGGACAATGTCTCTGGTCACCCAGAACCCCATGAGTTCAACACCAAAGGCACTGAAATGGTCTACCTGCCCCCAAACACAACATCTCTAATTCAGCCCCTAGATCAGGGGGTCACAAGGACCATTAAGGCATATTACACATGGTAGTCTATGGAAAGGATTGTCAACACTGTGGAAGAGAAACTTGATAGAGAGAACATCATAAAAGGCTGGAAGGATTACACCACTGATGATGCCATCGTTGTTATAGAAAAAGCCATGAAAGCCATCAAGCCTGAAACAATAAATTCCTGCCAGAAAAACTGTGTCCAGATGTTGTGTATGACTGCATAGGATTTACAACAGAGCAAATAAGGGAAATCAAGAAAGACATTGTGAATAAGGCAAAAAAGGTGGGGGTGAGGGTGTGGAGGATTATCTTGGAGAAATTTAAGAGCTAATAGACATCACAGCAGAGGTTTGATGAATCTGAGGGCTTTCGAACCAATGCCAGATGATTAGAAAGAAAACATGAAGAAGCAGTGCCAGAAAACAAGTTGACATTAGACAGTCTGGCAGAAGGGTTCAGATTTACTTAAGACTGCTTTTGACTTCTTTTACCACATGGACCTTTCTATGATATGGGCACTGAAACTAAAGCAAATGGTGGAAGAAGAGTTGGTATGGTATAGAAATATTTTTAGAGAAATGAAAAAGCAAAAAAAGTTAGAAATTATGATGTATTTCCATAATGTTACATCGACTGTGCCTGTATCTCCTGCCTCCCCTCTTCCACCTCCCCCACTTCTTCCACCTCTGCCATCCCCGAGAGAGCAAAACCAACTCCTCCTCTTCCTTCTCCTCCTCAGCCCATTCAATGTGAAGACAACGAGGATGAAGACCTTTATGATGATCCACTTTCACTTAAAAAGGAGTAAAGAATCATCATGCTGTACAGTTAATAAACTTATCTGTTGTGTATACATGTGTCTTCCTGTAAAAATCTAATAACTGTACGGCAAGGACTGTATGAGGAGTTTGTGTGTCATTGTCATCATCATTGACTAAGTATTCATCACATAGAACACCATGTACAAGATTTGTATTGAGGTGGACAGCCTATCCTTACATAGGCATAAGGTGAGTGCCATTTAATATAAAATTAATAATGTGTTAGTTTTCTTACTGTTTTATAACTCTGCTTTCCAAGAAGTGCATTATTGTACAGTATGCCTCTCTTGTAATTGGAGAAACTGGGTATCAGCCTATCATCACAGGTAAGTGGTTTTTTCTTAATGTAACAATGTTTGCAATACTGCATTATGAATATGACTATAATACTGTATGCCATAAAAATTTTATAACACTTTATTCATTACTGTATAGGCTAGGCTACCATGAAACCATCATATCAATTACACTAGGCTACCATAAAGCAATCATATTGCTACTTGTTCATTATCAATACATGAATCATTCATTACACCTATAAATAAATATGAATTTCTTTTTCACATTACCTTTTCATTTTTGATGTCTAGTGTTGTAATATATACAACATCTATAGTGCTTTGTATCATTTAAGACAATATTGATGTAGGCATTGACAGACGATTCACCTTATAAATAGATGACATAAACTTACGGTATTGATAAATACAGTACAGTAAATGTATTTTCTCTTCCTTATGATCTTCTTAATAACCTTTTCTCTAGCTTGCTTTATTGTAAGAATACAGTATATAATATGTATAACACACAAAATATACGTTAATTGACTATTTATGTTATTGGTAAGCCTTTCAGTCAACAGTAGACTATTAGGAGTTAAGTGCTGGCAAGTCAAAAGTTGTATGTGGGGCTTCCCTGGTGGCGCAGTGGTTGCGAGCCCGCCTGCCGATGCAGGGGACACGGGTTCATGCCCCGGTCCAGGAAGATCCCACATGCCGCGGAGCAGCTGGGCCCGTGAGCCATGACCACTGAGCCTGTGCGTCTGGAGCCTGTGCTCTGCAACGGGAGAGGCCACAACAGTGAGAGGCCCGCATACCGCAAAAAAAAAAAAAGTTGTATGTGAATTTTCAACTGTGCCAGATCTGCACCACTAACCCTTGTGTTGTTCAAGGGTCAACTGTAAAATTCAGAGTGCCCAAAAGGGATAAAGAATCCTGGACAAATCAAGGACAAAACCATCATATAAGTCAGGTGTCTCACAGCATTCAGCAACTGAGAATAAAAACACTCTTAGTGGGGCGCTTCTTTCAGACACTCAGGTAACTGTGCTTACCTACTGAGAGCAGGTGGCTATAGGTCTCCAGCATCACATCCCGGTACAGGTTTTTCTGATCAAGGTCTAGCTGCTGCCACTCCTCTCTGCTGAAATCTACAGCCACATCCCTGAAGGACACTGATCCCTGTAAGGGCACATTCCTGTTCAGCATGAATAGTTAGTTTTGGGGGATGGAGAGACTATATTTAGGAATATGGAACTTAGGTTTTGTTGTTATTAATTTACCTCCTCTGTTTAAAAACTCACCCCCATTTCCCTAACATTTTATTATGAAATTTTACAAACATACAGAAAATTTAAAATAATTGTGTAGTGAAAACCTATATAACCACCACTTAGAATCTATCCCTAACAATTTACTCTACTTGTTTTACCACACATTTACCCATCCTTTTACCCATCCATCAATCCATATTACTTTTTTGTGCATTTCAAAGTAAACTATAGATGCCAGTACACTTCCTCCTAAATACTTCAGAATGCAAATCATTGAGTATAGCATTTTTTTTACCTTTTTTAGGTAAGCTTTACATACAATGAAATGCACAAGTCCTCAGAGTACCATTTGAAGTTTTGACAAGTGTATACACCTGTGTAATCCAGGAACTTTTTAAAAAATGGTATTGCATATAGGGTGTATATTAAATATCTAGTTTTACATAATACTTTATGGAAGAAAGAAAGCCAGTAAAGAATTTCTGCTAGTGTTCTATACTATGGTCAGTCAATTACTCGTTTTTCAAAACTGAAGATTGAAATAGGCTCTCTTGTAGTTTTCTAGCAACTGGATGAATGACCTGTGATACAATTTCTGAGCAATTTAGGACCAGCCATTATGCTAGCCCTGGGAACACAAATATGAATTATTTATGTTTCTAATCTTCTAGCAACTTAAAAGACTTGGAAAATAAACAAGACCTATGTTTTAAAAGAAAAGTAAAAGAAAACACAAGTTCACTAAAGTGTCAAAAAGTAAATCTCTATGTGGAACACACTGAGGTCCCCAAAAAGGAAAAATACATTCCACATGGGGGTATAAGTTTATTATTAGTTGAGGAATTTAAGTTGGAAGATGAGAAGTATAACACAGAATGGGGAGGTGAGGAAGGTCATTTCCCAGAAAAGACAAGCAAAGGTGTGGCTATAGGAAAATACATGATGAGTTTGGAAAATAGCAAATAGCTCTATGTAAATGAAGAGAAGTCTGCATGACAAGCCAGGAAGGTGGTTATGGGAAAAACAGTTTGCTCATAGAACAAGTATGAATTTTCCATTTTAAGTAAAGGTAATTAAGGTAGTCAGATTTATATTAAACATTTTTTTGTATAAGATCTGTATTGCAGAATAACCAAATAAATGATGAACAGTTCCTTACAAAATGATTTCTGGCTAATAAATGAAGAAGTTAGGATAGAATTAGGATACTATCATCTCATAACTCCTAATGAAATAATGAGTTTAGACAATAATCATTAAGGGTTGCTCAACTGTTTCAGGTGAAGGGCTGAAGAGAAGTTTAAAATGGATGAGTCAGCTATTAACAATGGCATCCACTCATCAATTTTAACATCACAAAAAGAGAGATAACCATGTATTATGTGCCTCCTGACATGATATAGTAATTAATTTCATACCACCCATTAAGTACTTTTACAAAATATAAAGAAAAATACAACCTGAATCTCATTAAGCCTCCAGATCCAACAAATCATTCATAGGTAATATGAAGTATAGAGGAATATGTTGAACAATATCAAGACCAAAACATGAACTAAATCCAGAAGGCAGAAAATGACCTGTTTCTTCAAAAAATAAATTACAACAGAAAAAATATGGAGGAGAATCTTTATTAAAAGAGACTTCAGAGTCATACTAACCAAATGCAACTTGTGGACCGTGTCTGGCTCTTAATTAAAGCAAACCAACATTAAAAAGATATTTATGGCATGTTTCAAATTCAAATAATAACTGGGTATCAGATGATACCTAGGAATTATTGATATTATGTTTTAGGTGTGATAATGGCTTAATGGTTATGTCAAACAAAAAGGAAGAAAAAAAAGAATTCTCATCTCTTAGAGATATATATCAAAGTAGTCACAGATAAAATGGTTTGGGGGATTTACTTTAAAATAATCTAGCAGCTGGGAAGGAGGGTAGTTTTAGACAATATAAGAATGACAGAATGTTGATCACTAATAAAGCTGAGTGATAGGTACAATAGATACATGGGCTCCTTATACTATTCTCTTTACTCTTGAATACATTTACATTTTTTTCATAGCAAAATGTTTTTTAAAAAACATGACCTTCCATATTAAAAAAATCTAATCTGGAAATGCATAATTGAAGGAATGGCTATTTCCACCTGAAGTCAAACACTTAAAAAAGGGATCTAGGGGCTTCCCTGGTGGCGCAGTGGTTGGGAGTCCGCCTGCCGAGGCAGGGGACACGGGTTCGTGCCCCGGTCCGGGAAGATCCCACATGCCGCAGAGTGGCTGGGCCCGTGAGCCATGGCCGCTGAGCCTGCGCGTCCGGAGCCTGTGCTCTGCAACGGGAGAGGCCACAACACTGAAAGGCCCACATACCGCAAAAAAAAAAAAAAAAAAAAGGGATCTATAGGGACCTGAACAGCCCACACTCAGTAAATTATAGAAATAATAGACAGGGTATTATCAATGATATAGAAAAACAAACAACAGGATCTAATGAATATTTATAGAATACTCCAACCAACAACAGCAGAATACACATTCTTTTCAGGCATCCATAGAACAATGACCAAGACAGACCATATCCTAGGCTGTGAAATAAATCTCAACTGGAAAGAAATGAAATAATATGAAGTATATTCTCTGAAAATAATGGAATCAAACTAAAACTCAATAACAGAAAGACAACAGAAAAATCTCCAAAGGAATTATATTAGAAAACAGTAACAAAAGCTATCTGGAAAGTCTGGAAATATCTGGAAATTAATCAACACACTTCTAAATAACCTACAAGTCAAAGAGGAATCCTCAAAAGAAATCTAGAAAATACACAGAACTGTAAAAAAGTGAAAATACAATGCATCAAAATCTGTGGGATGCTGAAAGGGAAATTTATAGAACAGGGGAAACAAATGATCCAAGTAAAAAATGGGCAGAGAATCTGAATAAGACATTTTTCCAAAGAAAATATACAGATTGCCAACAGATAATGAAAACGTGCTCAACGTCACTAATGATCAGGGTAATACAAGTCAAATTCACAATGAGATATCACCTTACACCTGTCAGAATGTAACAACAAAAAAACCCCACAAACCCAAGAAATAGTAAGTGCTGGAAAAGATGTGGAGAAAAGGGAATCCTTGTGCACTACTGGAAGAATGTCAATTGGTGCAACCACTATGGAAAATACTATGGAAGCTCTTCAAAAAATTAAAAATAGAACTGTCATATGATCCAGCAATTCTATATCTAAGTATTTATCCAAAAGAAATGAAAATGTTAACTTGAATAAATATACACACCCCCACGTTCACTGCAGCATTATCCACAATGGCCAAGACATGAAAGCGACCTAAGTGTCCAATGATGGGTGAATGGATAAAGAAAATGTGGTATTTATATATGCATTGGAACATTATTCAGCCATAAAAAAGAAGGAAATCTTGCCATTCTCAACAGCATGGATGGACCTCGAGGGCATTATGCTAAGTGAAATAAGTCAGACAAAGAAGGACAAATACCTCATGATCTCACTTTATGTGGAATGTAAAAAAACCAGCAACTGAAGTCATAGATACAGAGAATAGACTGGTGGTTGCCAGAAGCAGGGGGCGGGTGATGGGTAAAATGAGTGAAGGTGGTCAAAAGTATAAACTTCCAGGTATAAAATAAGTCACGGGGACGTAATGCACAGCATGGTAACTATAACTATAGTTAATACTGGATAGTATATTTGAAAGTTGCTAAAAGAGATCTTGAAGGTTCTCAACACAAGAGAAAATATTTGTAACTATGTGTAGTGATGAATGAGAACTAAATTTATCATGGTGATAATTTCACAATATATACAAATATTGAATAATGTTGTATACCTGAAAATAATATGTTATACGTCAAGTACACATCAATTTTTTAAAAAAGGAAAAGTGAAAGGTCTCAAGTCAATAATCTAAATTCCTACCTCAAGAAACTAGAAAAAGAAAAGCAAAATAAACCCAAAGCAAGCAGAAAGAAGAAAATAATAGAAAACAGGTATCAAGGAAATTGAAAACAAAATAAAAAAAAACTAGAGAAAAATCAATAAAACACAATGTAGTTATTTTGAAAAAAATCAATAAAATTGATAAATCTTGCTGACTGACCTAGTAGTCAACCAGACTGACAAAGATAAAAAGATACAAATTACCAATGTTAGGAATGAATATCGTTACAGATATGGCAGCCATTAAAAGAAAAATAAGGGAATACAAAAATTCTATGATAATAGAGTCAGCAACTTAGAAGAAATGTACCGATTCCTCAAAAACCACAACTACCAAAACTCAACATTATGAAATACATATTGATAATCCCATAAACCATTAAATTAAATTAAAATAATAATTTAAAAGCTCCTGGGAAAAAAAGTCTCCAGGCCCAGATAGTTTGGTTTGTTTTTTTTTTGCTGCGCCGTGTAGCATGCAGGATCTTAGCTCCCCAACTAGGGGTCGAACCCGTGCCCCTTGCAGTGGAAGCAGAGTCTTAACCACTGGATCACCAGGGAAGTCCCGAGATAGTTTTACTAGAGAATTCTACTAAACTTCTAAAGAAGAGTTAGTCTCATTTTTACACAATCCCATCCAGAAATTAAAAGAAGAGGAAACACTTCCCAACTAATTTTTTGGGTCCAGTATTATTACGCTGATACCAAAGCACTACAAAGACAGTACCAAAAAGAAAACTACAGACCAATATCTCTTGAGAACTTAGATGCAAACATCCTAAATGAAATACTGCCAAATTGGATCCAGCAATGAATAAAAAGAATCATGCATCACAATAAACTGGAATTTATGGGAGAATTCTCTGTACTATATTCTGCATGCCCTTTGAATCTATAATTATTTCAAAATAAATAAAACGTTGAAAAAATATACTGAAGAATGTTTATTTATTCTCATAACAGAGCATTTTGAAATGGGCAAGACCAGAAAATAAGTCACGAGAACCACTGCACAATTCAGGTGAGAGAATACAAATTTCTTACTTATCTAAAGTAAGGCTGTAGTAAGGCTATAGAAGAGATTGATACTAATTATTAAGGAGGTAAAAGTGATACCGAGTGTGAAGGTGAGAAAAAAGGACTCAGATAACTCTCAGTCATCAGTTTTGTGTTGCTGTAGATTCTGAGGTCACAGATTAATTTAAGGACTAGAGAAGGGGGCTGGGGGAAAAAGATAATATATTTTGTACATACTAAGATTTAAGTGATAAGACATATACAAGGATGGACTCTAGGCAGGTGGATAGAGAGCTAGTAGGGAGATGATGATTCAGGAGTTGAATATACAGAGCAGGTCACTGAATTCAGAGTAGGGAATGAGCATGCAGGAAGGACAGGACAGAGAAAGTATTAAGGATAAGTATTAAAGATACTTGTGGTTTTTAATGTCTAAAATTATGATGCTTGAAAGCTATCTTTTTTTTTTTTTTTTTTTTGTGGTACGCGGGCCTCTCACTGTTGTGGCCTCTCCTGTTGCGGAGCACAGGCTCCGGATGCGCAGGCTCAGCGGCCGTGGCTCACGGGCCCAGCCGCTCTGCAGCATGTGGGATCTTCCCCGACCGGGACACGAATCCGTGTCCCCTGCATCAGCAGGTGGACTCTCAACCACTGCACCACCAGGGAAGCCCAAAAGCTATCTTTTTTATTTCTTCATTTAACTATGTTCAGAGATTATAGTTTGCTTCTTTGTGATGTGTTGATTCTGTTTATGGGGCTTAGAACATTGTCATTTCTTTGAAAATGTTCCTTATATACTTGAAAAGAATACATATACTCTAATTTTTCTCTTTCATACACTTGCATATTCACAACCTACTCACATCAAAACCCTGGCCCCTAAACCCTATGTCATCAAGAATTAAATGGGGAATCAAGAAGATGTCATATTCGTAGCTTTGACTCCACACCAAATGAGGTTCTTATAAACAATCTGTCCAGGAAAAATCTCCTTACTCAAAGATAACAATAAAAATCTCTTAATATACAAAGATACTATAAGCAAAAAGAACGAAAAAAAAAGAGAGAGATTAAAAGGAACATGCTAGAAATAAATTGCCACACAATAAAACACATTCACCATGAATTCAAGGAATTCACTAAAACAATCAACTACTTAATGAAATAAATAGGGATATGAGTCCAAAGAAGAAATAATGAAAAAACAGGTTAAGAAAATGGTTATTTAAATTTTTGAAAAAAAAAAAGGCAGAACTCAGTAAAGAAGTAAAAAAGAAAGAAAAAGTAGCACAGAAATGAAGTTCTCTCTGAAAGCAATAAAAACATTCTATGAAAACACAAAAAGTGGCAAGAGCAGATTAAGACAAGTAAGCAACATGAAATGGAAATAAGGACTTTTAAAGTAAAATAGAAAAAAAAACAAAAATAGAGTTTAATAAAAATATCCAACAAACAAAAGAATCCTTGAAGTAGCAGTATAGAACTCTTATCATTATTCACCGTACAAATTTAATAGATATTGTCTAAAAGAGTAAAAGATTTAGTTCAAAAAATTAATGCGATAAGGGTGACACTAAGAGAACTAACCAAAAAAAAAAAGAATCTAAACCCTCCTAATTACCAGAATGACACAGAAACAAAAGCAAAAAATACAGAGTATACAGTGAAAGATACATAAAAGAAACATCCACATCAGAAGTGTAACATAAAAAGCATCTTTCCACTGCTGTACAGAGAAATTGCACAAGGACTCCAAAGGCTGACAGTAAAAGGATAAGCAAAAGGCATATTTGGATATGCCAACATAAAGGAAATAACAGCCTCCATCTTAATATCAGACAGAGTTGAATTCTAAGAAAAGATATTAAACAGGACAAGGACACAATCCAAAATGAACTTGAGATGTCATTACTATCACTGCAACAAATTACATAGCATCAAAATTTATAAACAGAAACTACAGGCAATACAGATAGAAATATACTCATGGTGGGAAACTTTAAATAATATCTCTCAGCTCCAGGAAATAAAGAGGAAAAAACAAGCCACATTGTAAAAACCTCCTAACTACATATTTTATTGATAACAAAGTCCATATCTGGAAATATTCTTTTCAAGTGACTCTGTAACATTTAGAAATATTAACCATAAAATTTGCACACATACACAAAGTTAACATTCCAAAAGCAGAATAAAATCAATGCAAACAAATCTCTCCAAAGGTACAATCCTAATTTTATTAAAAGGAGAATTTTTTAAGTAAAAATCTTAACAACTACAAGTGAAAACATGGTAAATGGTAATTAAAGATTTGATGGGAAATTTAGTATGTTCCTAGAAATCCACCCTTTCATCTAGATTTTAAATTGAGATAAGTTATTTTTCTAGATTATTTTTGAACATTATTTTGCTGTGAGTAGTTAATACATTTGATTTCTGAATCTATGTTCATAATTTTCAGTTCTTTTACTGTCATTGATGGGTTTAGACATCAAGGTTAATATGGTAAACAAAATAAAACAAACACCAAAAACAACGTTGGGAATAATTTTAGATATCTTTACACAAAACTTTGTTGTAAAAATCAAACTACTCCCAGAATGAATTTCCACCCCCTGGAATTCCTCCTCCTCACCTCACATGAGCTGCCATATTCCTCTGGAGCCAGGCCCAGGGATTTCTGGTGAGAGGTCCAATTAGCTGACATGGTCATGCTGGGTCTCAACCTTTATTCTCTCAGGAGCCTAAAGTTTGGTGGACATCTGTAAACTCAAGCAGAGCTGCTAAGAAGAGGTGAGGTGGAATCTGGAGGAAGATCTGATCCAGGGGCTCCCTGGAAAGATAATGTCCACATGGTCAGTCATCACATAAACATCTCCAGTGAACTCCAAGGTGTAGTTTCCTGAGCTAGACACCACAGGACAGTGGTTCTCAAGCTTGAGTGTGCATTCGAATCACCTGGAAGGTTTGTTAAAATACAGTTAAAAATCCCCACACTCCCACCGTTTCTGATTCAGTAGGTCTAGGGTAGGGCCTGTCTCAGACTATTCGGGTTGCTCTAACAAAATACCACAGACTGGGTAGCTTATAAACAACAGAAATTTATTGCTCACAGCTCTGGAAGCTAGGAAGTCCAAGATCAAGTCCATGATCACGTTTTGATGAAGGCTCTCTTCCTGGTTCATAGCCAGCACCTTCTAGCTGTGTCTTCACATGGTGGAAGGGGCTATGAAGCTTTGTGGGGTATCTTTTATAAGAGCACTAATCCCATTCATCAGGGTTCTACTTTCATGACCTAATCATCCCCCAAAGGCCCCATCTTCTAATACCATACTTTTGGGTATTAGAATTTCAACATATGAATTTGGGGGGAACAAACATTAAGATCATAGCAGGGCCCAAGAATCTGCATTTCTAACTAGTACCCAGGTGATGCTAATGCTACTGTTCCAGGAACCATACTTTGCGAACCAGTGCTGTGGAGAACATGAAGTTTAACAAAACCTGTGATAGGTTATTAGTCATGGTAAAATATGGGAAAAAAACATGAGATATGGAGTGACATTACTGAAGATTTGAATTGCAGCTCTGCTACTTTTTGGCTATGAGAAAATGAATAAGTTATTTTTAGCTTTAGTTTCAAAAATGAGAATGAAAGTGCCTACCTCATAGAGTTACGAAAATGAAATGAGATGATGCTTACAAAATACTCAACACTTCCCTGGAATACAAAAAGCATCCAATAAATATCTGCAATTACTATGCACTATTAGATATTAAAAGTTAATATAAAAAACAATATAATCAAAGCAAGTAAAACAACAGACAATACTGATTTAGGTATGTGACAAAAGTGACATTCAGGGCTTCCCTGGTGGCGCAGTGGTTGAGAGTCCGCCTGCCGATGCAGGGGACGCGGGATCGTGCCCCGGTCTGGGAGGATCCCACATGCCGCGGAGCGGCTGGGCCTGTGAGCCGTGGCCGCTGAGCCTGCGCGTCCGGAGCCTGTGCTCCGCGACGGGAGAGGCCACAGCAGTGAGAGGCCTGCGTACCGGAAAAAAAAAAAGTGACATTCAATTGAATGTACACAAGACATTCATTGCATAAATGCTGCTGACATAACTGGCCTTCCACCTGGAACAAAACAAACTAGATCTCCATTGCACACTATACATTAGACTGAATTCCAACATGAGTAAATATTTTAAGTATATGTATTTAAAAAATCTCAAAGAATATTAAAATAAATTTTAGGAGTATACGTTTGTATAACATTCTGTTGGAGTCAGAGTGATCTTATTGTACATGAGCGAAAACCCAGAAACTATAAAAGAAAAACCAAATATTTCTGATTCGATATTTCCTAATTATATGTTAAAATACACCTAATAAAAATAAAAATGAAGATATATATACACAAAAGTTTCAATATGTGATGACAGGTATCCTTATTGTTAAAAAAAAAAAAATCTAGCAATCAAGTGGAAAAAAAATAAAAGCCCAGGGGAAAAAAAAGACAAAGGACATGAAAATTCACAGAAAAGTAAATTTAGATGGCAATTAACCCCAAAGGTGCCAACATTACTGACGGGAAAGTGCATTAGACCAGTCAGACATAATTTTCCCTCAGAACTGTAAAAACTTTTTTTTAAATGCTGGAAAGCATTTTGGAAAATGAGCTCTTTTATAAATTGCTGGTGGGTGCTTAAATTGCTATAATATCTTTTGAGTTATTTAGTTATATCTATTATTGAAAATACACATAACTGCTCCTAATAATAGTTCCAAATATATAAAGCAGAAACTGGTTGAACGAAGGGCAAGAGGATAAATAACCTTTCCAGTGTGAGTTTACCTTTCTCGGTAATTAATTAAGTAGACAAAATAATATATATAATGCAATCTATATGAAACAATACAATACAATTAATAAAGAATACAATTGTTTTTATGTAATAGATGTGACATTTATGAAAACTGACCCTGAACTGGGCCATAAGCAATTTTTACACTCGAGCGTCACCCAGAGGCATTATTTGAAATAGAGAATGCCCTTCTAAATAATTCATGGGTCAAAGAAAACATTAACTGAAATTCAAAAAACAAAAACCCAAACACTGAAATGGGAGCAATAAAGAAAATGCTTGTATTTAAAAAGCAAGCTCATCACAGACCCCATAGATTCCCCATGCTGACGCCCCAGGCCCTATCACTGACCACAGACTCCCATCACTGGGCCCCCAAATCCCAATCACTCATCTCAAAGATATTCACCATTGCCCAGGACCCCATCACTGACCTCTCTCTGACACCCAATAACGGATGCCACAGATCCCACCCCCCACCACTGAATCCCCAAACCACCATCACTAACTCCACGGACAAGCCTTCTATCATTGACCCCACAGAATTCCTAATTAAGAGCAACCAAAATCACCTCAGAGACCTCTCGGCATTAACGTATGAAGATGCTCCTGACACAAGCCGCAAAAACGCCTCCGAGAGCCACTTCCGCTTCCAGTCGGGCCTCTAGCACCATACGGACTGTTGGTATTGCGCATGCTCTGAATTACCCTGGAAGCCGCATTCCGCCAACAGTCAACACGGCGAACAGACTTTGTTAGGGACCTTGCGCGGTTTCCCTGAGAGGCGCTGTTGGGCAGAGAACATGGCTGCACCCAGTGTGCTTCTGCGCGCGGGCCGCCATCTTGGAAGCGTATCCGTTCCGTACAGCGAAGGAAGAGGCCTCCTGCGGGTTTTTAGAGCGAGGCAGGGGTTGCCACAGAGCATGTGGGAGTGTGGCCCTGGACTAGGTGGGCTTCCGGGAGGAGGAAGGTATTGGAGATGGGGTCCCGAGCTCCATGTTATGTTTAGAAAAACCTAAATTGCCCCTCAGGAATCAGCACCACGCGGAGAGCAATTACCTGCTTGGAGAAACCACCAGGAATGTGGAGGGCCTGAAAGAAAAATGTCACCAAGGGAGAAGGACAAACGTCTTACGTACCAAGGCTGGATCCTGGGAGAAACCACCAGGAGACGAGGGGGGGAAAGTCAGGGTGCTACAATCCACTTTTCGGAGAATGGAGAGGTCTGCCCCTGGACAAAAACACTTGGCAACAGAGAAATGTCAGAACGGGCAATTAGCTGCAGGAAAGGTGGTACAGCCCTTAACGTGAGAAAGAACTGGGGGAAATAGGGTAGAACTCAGAGTAGTCCTATCCTTTCCAGAGAGATACAGCCATAGGAAGTTGTCACTTTCTAAAGGGCTGGTGGGGCGAATGGAGACTTGATAAATCCCCATTAATCTTCGTTAGCCTTCACCTTAACTACTGCAAGTAAAACAATAGTAGGCAGCAATAATAAAAAATAATAACGGTTTTTAAGATGGTCAACATGTGACTAAAAGCACTTAAGGAAAACTGCTATTTTTATTTGTAAATTAAAATCTAAGTAATAACAATGTCCTTACTATATAAATAAAGCCTTAAGTCCAGTCTGACTGCTCCCTTAGCTTCTCCTATATGGAAATTCTGGAGCAGCTAACACTCTCCCTGTTACCATAGCACAAGTCGTGTGCTGACGCACCGTGAGGCCACATAATACCAAAACGTCAGAGTTTGGAACAGAGAAAAGGTTACTGCAGGGCCGTGCAAGGAGATAGGTGGCTCATGCCTTTAAAAACACCCCAAACTCTCTAAAAGCTTTCAGCAAAGCCCTTTTATAGGATAGGTGAAGGAGGGGCATGCTTAGTTGTTGGAAGCTTCTTGGTGTCAGATCCTCTATTCTTGAGATGAGGTCAAAGTCAGGTAACGATGTTCCTGTAAATCTCCACCAAACAAATGTTACTCTCTGTTCTGACAAGAAAGGGAAAGGTCCCAAGGCACAACTTTCAGCCTTCGGGGTCCAGGCCTGGCTAAGAGAAGGGGGTCCCTGTGTGTGTGTGGGGGGGGAAATTACCCTGCCCTGGAGTGTTCGTCCAGCACCCAGTCTGGGTCCTCCCGCCAGTGCCCAGGCCTGGCTGAAAAGGCAGTTCTCAGTTGGTGGCTCCGTCAGGGCGAGCTCCTCAGACCCTGTCTAGCTGCTGTCATCGCTGAGGGAGCCAGGCCCCCAGGACCCAGCTGGCCCTCAGGCTCCTCAGGCCGCCCTAACAGTGGGGGTCAGGTCCCACAGACCGTCTCCCATGCAGACTGCCTGTGCCATTAGGTCGCAGAGGCAGGGACGCAGGAGAGGTTCGCCACCACCTCAGGGTCTGGGCCCGGCCAGTGGGTGGTCTTGGCAAGGGCTCTGGAGCCCTGTAGGACACAGCCCCAGCCTGTTCCCTGGGCCCCCAGCTCACCCGCCAGCTCGAGGCCGGATGAGCTGGAAGGCGCCCGGCAGAGGACCTGGATTTCCCTCTTTCCTCACTCTCCACCTGACGACCCCGACTCCCGCAACGTTTGGCTCAGTGCCCCTCTAATGGTCACCTGTGGACAGTTCCTTGCTTGGGGGAGGGGCCCACTGCGGCGCCGACCAGTGGCTGAGCAGGACCTCTTATGGTGCTCTAACCTTCTGCATTATTGGTCTCGGGGTAACTGTTGCCTGGTAACGGGGTGCGGGGTAACAGAGGGCTGCACACTTCAGCACTGTATTACATCCCCACCCCCATCCCCTGCTTTTGGGGGACTATGGGTGGGAGTTGTAAAGACAGTACTTAACAATACTGTATTGTATACTTGTAATTTGCTAAGAGAGTAGATCTTAAATATTCTTACCACACACACATTAAAAAAAAGGTAATTATGTGAGGTGATGGATGTGTTAACTAACCTTATCATGGAAATCATTTCTCAATATATCCATGTATCAAATCATCACGTTGTACATCTTAAATTTACACAATGTTATATGTCAATTATATCTCAATAAGGCTGGAAAAAATACATAAATTATCTGAATTATAATAACTCCTATATGGTTTACTTAATTTCAATCCCACCACCTGTGGCAGAGACAGCTACATGCTACCCAATATACTATCTTTTTTATCTTAAATAACAGAATTCAGATTTTAATTGAAGCAGCAATGTGCTCAGCTGAAGGATTATCCTGCCTCTCTTGAAGCTGGGTGTGTCCATGTGATTAAGTTTGGGTCCCTGAGATGGAAGCAAAAGTGTTG